GGGACTCGATCCCGGGACTCCAGGATCATGACCTGAGCCGAAGGCAGTCGCTTAACCAACTGAGCCACCCAGGCGCCCCTGTATTATTCTTTTAATGCTCACATCAACCCTATGAAGTATTTTTTTAAAGCCTTATTTTATAGATGAGGCAGAGGTTCATTAACTCGCCTAAGGTCACTTAGCTAGTAAGAGATGGCACAAGGATACAAATCCAGTTTGGTTCCAGAATCTGTTCCTGATCACTGAGCAAACTATTTCTCAGGACAGCTATAAAAGGCAGATCATCTTTGTGGGTTCTCATTCCTCAAGTGAGGTTACCCTAACACAGGGCACTAAAACTAGCATTTGATTCTCAAGTTACTAGACTAAAATATTAACTAGTTTATCAACAGGTATTCAGTAGTTTCATGTCCATTCATCTGGACAAAACAAAGATTATGGGCTCCATGAATGTTATACTTAGAGGTTTCAAAACAAATTTTTTTCTCAAATGAGAAAAGTTTATTCAGGTTTCCTCCACCTATTTCTATAGATATAACCTGCCTGCAATAAGCGATCAAAAGATTAAAAATGCTTATAAAATATATTAACATCTCCAAATATATCTTAGCTGGTGATCTAAGCCTATTTGTTTTAGCTCCAAAATGAATTATTCTTTATATTATTTAACAGACTGAGAATTGCTTAAGACACATAATTAACAGCTCATCAGTACTTTTCTCTACAAATGTTTAATGTTTGACTAGTAACTGTATTCAAGAGATGAGGAAAAAGGGAAGTAGTAATAACCATCCCAATTCAACTTGGTACTTGTTTTCACCTCTACATGTTTATGTTTTGTGTATTTAAGATAAGCTCTGCTATAGACAATACAACTGTTTGAATCCTTGTTATATGCTAAGACTACATAAATTACCTCATTTAATATCAATAATTTTGATATAAAATGGTGATACTTCTTTTTTCTATTTTACACATGGGGAAACTGAGGTTTACTGGAGTAAAACAATTAGGCCAAAGTCTCACACACAAATGTCAGAGTCCAGATCAAACACAACTGGCTAGATGCTAAAAACATGTTAAAAAGATTCTACTTTTAGCTGGCTTGTTTTCTTACAGAGCCCTAAAAAAAAATTAAGTGCCAACTGTAGTAAACTATACAACATCCTTTGTATTTCTAAAAAATACAGCTTAAAAATATGCATGTTATATGAGTACTCAAATAATTACCCTGCATATTTCCATCTTTAGTTTCCTCTGCCATGTTAGTGTAAATGTATTGACAAATTGGCCTGTTAGAAAAATGGCAAGCTCTTCTACCTTTGTCTGAAAACATACTATATCTTGGCCTCTACATAGCTATAACATATCATGAAAAAAACCAACGAAACAGACTGGGAGAAAATACCTGCAAACTACATATTCAATGAACAGCAAAAAACCCCAAATAGGACTCAATTAGAAGATGGGCAAATGACCTGAAGATATATCACCAACAGCCATTAGGGAAATGTCAACTAAAACCACAATGAGATCTTACTGCATACCTATCAGAATGGCTAAAGTAAAACAAAGCAACAACACTGCATGCTGGCAAGAATGCAGAGAAACTGGATCACTTACTTACACACTGCTAATAGGAATGTAAAGTGGTATAGTCACTCTGGAAAACAATTTGGCAGTTTTTTAAAAAACTAAACATGCAACTACCATATAACCCAACAATGCACTTCTGGGCATTTATCACAGAAAAATGAAGACTTACATTTATAAAAAAAAAAAACCTGTACCCAAATGTTTATTGCAGTTATTTGTAAAAGTCAGAAATTGAAACAATCTGAATATTCTTCAATGAGTGAATGGTTAAACAAACTGTGGCATACCTATAGCATGGAATACTACTCAGCAATAAAAAGGAATAAACTATTAATACATGCCACAATTTGAGAATTATGCTGAGTGAAAAGTGCCATTCCCAAAGGTCACATACTATATGATTCCACTTACAAAAATTTTTTAAAAGAATTTTAGAGAGGGAGAGAGGGAGCGTGAGCATGGGAGGGAGGGGGCAGGGGGAGACAGAGACTGAGAATCTCAAGTAGACTCCCCGTTGAATGCGGAGCCCCACTTAGGGCTCTATCCTATGACTCTGAGATCATGACCGAAGTGGAAATCAAGAAGCAGACGCTTAACTGACTGAACCACCTAGGCGCCCCTCCACTTCTAAAAATTTTTGAAACAACAAAATTATAGAAATGGAGAATAGATTAGTGGTTGTCAGGGGTTAGGGAGGGCAGGTATAGTAGGTGTGGCTATCAAAGGGCAACATGAGGGATACTTGTGGTAGGGAAATGTTCAGTGACCTGAATGATTTAATGTCAATATCCTGGTTGTGATACTGTACTACAGTTTTGTAAGATGTTACCATTGGGAGGGGATGGGTAAAGGGCACAGAGATATCTACAGTATTTCTAAGGCTACATGTCAGTCTACAACATCCCAAAATAATAAATTTAATTTAAAAAAATGAGCTCTATAGAGAATGTATTTTCATTGCAATAATCAGTTACCACATATATACATAAATCAGTACATGTAAAGATTAAAGACCGCCAATTGATTTATCTTGTAATTTGTACAGAAGTGACCACTTCAACATACAGTGCCATGAGGCACTGTAAAACTGATTCCAGTGAAGTTGTAAAGTTGCTAAAAAAAAAAAAAGAATGGGATTTGATATATGCTAGAAAAAGCTTCTGTATTTTACTGATAGGTTCTAAAGAACAAGGCTGTATCATGACTTACTACTTCATCCGCAAATCCACCAGCAAGGACAAGAGAATAAGCCCCATCATTACTTCGACCATGAATTCCACCAACATGGGGCCTATGGACACCTGCTTCGCTCACCTATGAAATAAAGAGAGTCTCAAAATACCTTTGAATGGTCAAATTATATTTATAAAATGCTTTCACATATATTATTGTATCCTAAAAGCCTCCAACTAAGAACTGAATGTTGCTCAGAGTTCTACCTTTTGCTCACCAACTTTATTTCTTTCCAACTATATATCCCTTAGATACTAAGCTGGTGACCTTAAAACTGCTCAGACCTAGAATTTGGAGTTTCAAAATAATTATTAAATACCATTTTATGTCTACTGGTCATTACAGCTCAACTTGGGTAAAACAGAATTTATCAGTGATCCAGATCCCTTCCTATCCTATTTCTTCTCTTCAATTACTGCATGCTCCCTAGTCACATCAGAAAGGCAAGAGTCATTTTATTCTTTTTTTTTTTTTTGAGAGAGGGTGTGTACAGGTGGGGGGAGGGGGGGAGTAGGGAGAGAGAGAATCTTAAGTAGGGGCTCAATCTCATGACCCTGAGATCATGACCTGAGCCAAAATCAGAAGTAGGATGCTTACCCGAATGAGGAGCCCAGGCACCCCAGGCAAGAGACATTTTAGCCTCATTCTTCTTCTCTATTTTTCAAACCCATTTTGGTCATAAATACTGCTGATCAATCTCCTAAATCTCTCAAATACATCTTTTTCTACTTCAACTGCTGTAATCTTAGTTTGAGTCATGAATACTATAAACATCCTTTTTCACTGCCTCCAGTTTTTCTCTTCAAATCCCATTCTACCCATCACAAACATAACAATACTTTTAAGAATAAATCTGCCTTTAATATTCAACATCAAATGGTCATATTGTATATCAAGCCCCAAATATTACATATTACCCTCTCTCAATCTGGCTCCTATCTACTTTCCCCACCTTAACTCTTATCTCCAGCTTCTCCTTCAGAGAGCATATATGTTTGAGCCAAAACTACTCAATGTTACCCAAACGTGCTTCCCAATTTGTTAAATTTACTTATGTATTCTACTACTTCAATGGCCTACTGCTTCTTCCCATCTATCTTCAATTTTGGCTCCCTGAACAGTGTCACTTTGTGTACTTCAAACTCCCTGAGAGAAGTATCAGAACTCATTTGTTTATCATATAATTATTCTTAGAGAAAAAGAAGCTGAAATCCAAGCCTGCATAGCGGGGTAGGGAAAGACACACATTAGAAGCCAATGAGAAGCTAATGAAAGCATCAGAGCCTGAGTTTAGGTCTTGAAAACACCAGGTACTCCAGAAGACAGGACCACCTGTTCCCAACCTCACCAATCCTGATGAAAATAAATCTTACTCTTCCCCACTTCCTAAATGGCAAATCCACCCTTGTAGTTGCTCAGGCCAACAACCTCAAACTCATCTGAGACCGTATTAATAGGGCTTTTAGAATTTGGGAATAAATTAGTGACAGGTATACAAAAAAAAAAAAAGCAAACAACAACAAAAAAGCCCAAGGCAATTAAAAATATACTAAGTGTACTTTTTATTGTATTTATAACATTCTATTGTATTTACTTGTAGTATTTTTTTTTTTACTGTATTTAAAGATCTAAAGTCATAAAACATGCATATGGATTTAGCCAAAATTATAATATAACCATTGCAAGGATGGAAAGACACAGAGTGTGTTAAACTAAATGCCATCTTCCATAGAAAGAAGTTAAACTAAAATATGAAGACAAAAGCAGTAGAAACATGCTATTTAGAAATAAGGTAAATCCAGAAGAAACAATTAAAACTTTAAAGTGGTTGTCTCTGAGAAACAGAAAATGAAGATAACTTAAGCTCTCTATAATGATAAAATTACCATTCTAAAAAAGAAGTTAGAAATGAATACAGTAGAGCCTTCAAGAGGAAAAGGAAGTAATTTTATCCTTGGGTTATCTGGGCACTTCCTCTGACCAACACCTTAACATTCATTCAGGAGGATAAGCTGTAAACAAGACACCTCAGTGAGCTTTCTTGGACTTCAATGATATTAAGTGAGAACTTACCAAATATTTTAAAGAAAAAAAATTTAATATTTCAAATATTAAATTCTCAGCAAGGAAAATTCTCTAGAAAGCTTAACAATATTGTTAACTATCAGAACAGTAAAACAAAGTGATGAAAAGGCATAGCTGATGCCTAATTCCATGATGTATGGTCCTCTGTCTTAAGCTATGGGGAAGAGTCTACCCATCCTATAGAGAATCTTCTAACAACTGAATGCCATGTGACAAAACCTAGGTTAGTCCACTTATAATCAACAGAAACTGACATTGCTACAATTTTAACTATACCCAACTTTTACCCTTTCAACAAAACCAATTTAAAACATACCTGAACTCTAAATCTCCATGTTGATCCAACAGGAATCCCAGGAATAGGTCCATAATGATTAGAAGGAACAATAGTACATTCTCTAGTGCGACCAACACAGGCCATTCCCTATAAGTAAACAAACAAGCTATTTGAGAAACTGGTTATGTCAAATCTTAAAGCCCTTAATTCCCATAAAAATGAGAATAAAATAGAAACCTAACTATATGATTAACAATACATAATTTATATGATTTCATTAACATACAGCTAACAGTTATAGTAAATTAACAATTATATAATTATAGTTATTCGTTAATATTTCTGAAATGGAAAGCATAATTTATATCACCACTACTGTTGGTATTGAAATGTTATAACCTGCATTACAGTCATAAATGTTATAGCTAGGAAGAAAAGGAGACTTTCTTCTTTACCCTGCCCCAGTCTCTCCGGCTTTCAGTACTAGCTGATGGCATCTTTGCTTTCTTTTTACTCATCTTGAGTCTTTCACCAGCCTTTACAACTTCACTGGAATCAGTTTTACAGGAAGGACAATACCTTTAAAAGAAAAAGGAATTTTGAAAATACCATATTAAAGCTAGTAACAGAATGGTCTTTCCAGGTCAGAACAAGTTTTAAGATGTAATACTTGGTGTATATTATAGATCTTCAGCTGGCATTTAAATATTAAACTTTTGAAAATATTTACATGATTAAGCTAGCAGGAAAAAGAAAAAACCAAAACCAAAACCTTATCACTCCTTTAAAGAATGTAAAGGATTATAATATCATAAAATCTCAAATTCAGTTCAAAAGCCAGACAAAGCTGTCCAATTCAAATGGCATCATGCACTATTTTTTTTTTTTTTTAAAGATTTTATTTATTTTTGCGAGAGAGAGAGAGAAACAAAAAGGGAGAGAGTGAGCACGAGTGGGGGTTGGGGAGGGAGGAGCAGAGGGAGAAGCAGACTCTCCACTGAGCAGGGAGCCCAATGCAGGACTCGATCCCAGGACCCTGGGATCACGACCTGAGTGAAGGCAGATGCTTAACCAACTGAGCCACCCAGGCGCCCATTAACTCTGATCTTATCACTAACCTGGAGAATGGAATTTATTCATTTGAAGTTCCTATTATTAAAACAGAGGTAGCAAGAATAGATGATCTTAGACTGAATGTTCAACTATGCAACTGAATTCAGGTTACATCCCCATCTAAACTGATTATTAAAACTCTCAAAGTCAAAAATGTATACTCTATCACAACTAATATACAGGATCCAAGGATGCTTGTTTATATTAGCCTTATCCGTAGGTTCTGTTTTAATTCTCTATACTTTTTGTCCTTTGGCCTATTGCAGTTGGTCAATCTACTATATATTGCAGTTGGTCAACCTACTATAACTTGCATATCATTATGAGCTACCTTAAATCATTCCTAAAAAGCAAAGTATAAGTATGTCTATAGAATCAGATTCTGTATCTTTATTCATATTCTGAATTGGACATTCAAATATAGATTGGTGTTCCTATATCACCAAGGAATACAAACTTGAGGGATATCCTGATAAAGATCAACTGGCCCCTCTCACCATTAATATTAAATGTGCCTATACTTTCCATTTCATAATTACTCCATATAGTGTTTAGAGCAAAAAACCATCCATGCCCACCAGCTAATTCTGACTGCTTAATTATGAGATACTTTGTTTAGTACTAGAGGAAAGAAAAATGTAATTCAGTCCCCTGATTCTGAGAAAATTAGATTGTGATATACACATACAAAACGAAGGCAAAAATTAAAATGTAGGAGAAAGTAATAAGTATTATCAAGTAAAATCCCTTCTAATTGGGAAATCAGGAGGCTTCCAAAAATTAATTTGTTCTAAGACTGGATTTTACCCAATGTGCTAACCTTTAAAACTATAATTTTTCAGAGATCTTAGGGGCAAAGCAGGTACTATTTCTGGTGAGAAAATGAGCTCAGAGGTTAAATATGCAAACAACATGATTTGGAGAAATAGAAAAGATATATCAGGCACTATTTTGGTGCTGGGGATAAATATGATCAAAATGTTTGTACAGAGTAAAGAAAACTAGTACATACAATGAAACAATTTCAGGAAGTCGGCAAGTTCTATAAAGGAAATACATCAGGGTTATGTGGGTATTAAGAGTGATTAGAAATGGTATGTGTTGGGGCACCTGGGTGGCTCAGTTGGTTGAGCGACTGCCTTTGGCTCAGGTCATGATCCTGGAGTCCCGGGATCGAGTCCCGCATCGGGCTCCCCGCTCGGCGGGGAGCCTGCTTCTCCCTCTGATCCTCCCCCCTCTCATGTGCTCTCTCATTCTCTCTCTCTCAAATAAATAAATAAAAATCTTTTAAAAAGAAAAGAAAAGAAAAGAAATGGTATGTGTTTTTAGATAGAGTAGTTTTCTGAGGTGATATTCCAGCTAAGACCAAAGGAGTCAGTCCTATGAAGAAGCCAGGGAATGCATTCTGGGCAAAAAGACATTAAGTATACAAGTCCTGAGGCCTAAGGAGGAGTGGTATGCCTTGAAAAACATTAGGTGGGTAGATCTGAAGTTTAGCAAAATAAACTGCACAGAGATAAGCAATGAGGTTATAGAGCAGGCAGGGCCAGGTCAGAATAAAACCTAAGCACATGCCATCTAAGTGCAACAGGATAACACTAGGGGATTTTAAACACATGAGTAACCCTGTTACTCAGTTCAGGATTTAGTAAGATCATTCTGCTACTATGGTAGAAAGGATAGCTGGCAAGCAATGTGAAAGCAAGGAGACTAGTTAAGCATTTATTATACAGTTCAGGGAAGCGACATTAGTTTGGACTGAAGGATGAGAGCAGAGAAAGATTATGGAGGACTGAAAAGACCTGCTCATGTAGGATGTAGAATATGTGAGGAGGGTGAAGAGGAAATCAAAGAGGAAGTATAGCTTTTCAGCCTGAACAACTAGATGAGTATAGCATTTTTGGGAGAGGAGCAGGATTTTAGGGGGTGTGTTTATGGAAATCAAGATCTCCATTTGGACTAATTTTGTGCTGTCCATCAAGTAAACAGTTGAATGAATACAGGAATATAGAACCCACGGAAGATTAGATACAAAGATACTGAAAATATAGAATCATTAGCTTGGTATTTAAAGTCTCATGATCAGATGAGGTCATCTAGGAAGCAAGCATGAAGACAAAAAGCAAGTGAGTAGTGCTTTGGAAAACTCGTAAATCTGACAGATATGAGAAAACAAACAGAGATGAAGGAAAGGCCAAGTGAGATACAATAAAAATTAGGTCATACGGTATCATACAATCTATAAAGACAAAGAGCCGAGAAGTACAAGTAAGGAGAGGACTTAGAAGTGACCATTAGATTTCGCAACACGAAACGTGTCTTTGAGCTTAACATAAATATAGTGGAGTTGTGGGAAGGAAAGTCCAAGTGGAGAGCTGAAGTATGAACAGGACAAGAGGAAATGGAAATCATCAATGAAGATAGCTCTTCAGAAGCTTTGCCATAAAGGAAGCAAAGAAATGGGATCAAGGGAAGGGGGTGTGTGTGTTTGGAAGACTGAATAGATTCCAGGATACTAATGAGAATGACCCAGTAATGGCAATTTGAGAATTAACTACAGGAGTGAAGTTCCTGAAAAGGCAAAGGGTTATGAAACTGTGAGAGCAGGTAGAAGGGTTTGCATTTTAGAGAAGCAGGAACTATCCTCCACAGAAACAAAAGGGAAGAAAAATATATGAGACTTTAGAGGAAATATAATTACTGTTTATAGATGGTAAAATACAGTTTGTAACCATGCAAGGGAGAAGGAGGGGGTAAAAGGAAGAAGTAGGATCCCTTCCCTTCTCCCACCCTTACAGCCTCTGTGGTAATACAATAACAACCTTCTTAATAGGTGGGGAGAGGCCAAAGGAATGGAAAATAATCTATTCTTCACAATAATACCAGCTACCCAACTGTGATATGATTACAGGCACATCTCATTTTATGGCACTTCACAGATACTGTGTTCTTTTACGGATTGAAGATCTGTGGCAACCCAGTGTTGAGCAAGTCCATTGGTGCGATTTTTCCAACATTTGCTTACTGTCTCTGTGTCACATTTTGGTATTTCTTGCAGTATTTCAAGCTTTTTCATTATTATATATTGTTAGGGTGATCAGTGATTAAGATTTGCTGAAAGCTCAGATGATGGCTAGCATTTTTGGCAATCAAGTATTTTAAAATTATGGTATGTATTTTTTTTAGAAACAATGTTATTGCACACTTAATAGACTACAACATAGTGTGTGAACATAACTTTTACATGCACTGGGAAGCAAAAAAATTCATCTGACTTGCCTTACTGCAGTATTTACTTAATGCAATGGTCTGGAACCTGTACTATCTCTGAAGTATGCCTGTATTTCTGAGTGTGACATTCTTTAACTTGAGCCTCCACGCCAGCAACACTCCATAGCTTAAGAAGAAAAAACTTCTTGGGGCGCCTGGGTGGCTCAGTCGGTTAAGCGGCTGCCTTCGGCTCAGGTCATGATCCCAGGGTCCTGGGATCGAGTCCCGCATCGGGCTCCCTGCTCT